TCCACTACGTCGACCCATTAGTCTGAGTAGGAGAAGCGGACATTTGGATTTTAATTTCTTACACTTTCCTGTGTGATTTTTTAATTAAAGATTTTTTTTTCTAATTTATGGAAGCTTTCAAGTAAATTGAATGTTTTCAAAATTTATGAATTTTTTAAAAATTCATCAAGATTTATAAATTCATAAATATTATTTCAAATTTCATGTATATCTTTTGAATTCATGGACATTTTTCATACTCACGGACATTTTGAATCCATGAACAATTTTATAAATCATGGACATAGTTTCAAATTGTAGAACAATATTAGTTTTCGGGTACATTTTCACATTCATGAATATTATTCGAATTCCTGAGCAATTTTAAATTCATGAAAAGCCAACCCAAATTAAAAAAAGTGAAAAAAATGCGTTATGATTTTTTTGAGGAAAAAATCGGGCTAGGAAAATCGGGTGAATTGTTGTGTATGTTATTGAGCTAGCCCAACTGTACGCGTTGTAGGCGACCCGTTTGTACCGCTCCCCATGAGCGATACATAGTAGCACCCCCATTAAATGGGTCCTAATTTGAGCCTGCATAGAAAAATATTTAGCAACCATGATAAGTTGATTTCTAAAGAATAAAAGAAGAATCAAAACATACTTGACTTAGATTATGTTATTAATATCTCTCAAAAATGAGAATATGTTATTAATTTATTCCACATATAAAGAGCACCATGGATGCTATATAAAGGATCACTCCGGATCTATTCATCGACAACATAGAACGTAATATTGCCATTCGAAACACAATTCATATAAACAATTCCTCCTACGGTCCAAAAGTTCTTCTATCAAGGATGGTAGGTACCAAGGTGGTGCTCCTAGGGCTCGTCCTTTTGGTGCTTTATTCAAGTATTTTGCAGGCATGATTCTTATTTTCTAAAGGACATGTGTATGAAACATTCTAATGACAGTTGAATTCATAGGTGTTATGTCAAAGGAGAGTATAGACGACAGATCCTATTTCCCCAGGGTTGCGATGTATACGTTGTCTCCAAGTCATGTCCATCCAAAGATGCATGTCTGACACAATGCAAACAAACATACCACTCGGGCACGATCTACGGTGAATGTGCTTCTGATGGATGCCATTGCATAGTATGTGTGTTATCTGCGGGAAATTGAGGATACTAGCAAGCCTTGCACGGCGCACGCTGCATGTTGTTTTCTCAGATTTAGAATTTTATAGTAATAATGTTTACATGTTCATTTAAAATAAATCCTAAAGCATGTGGTAAGTTGTGTTCAAAGAAACATGATTGAAGTCTCCTGATAATTTAATAGTGATAAATGTATTCTCGCATTCAATCCTGAAGGCAAATTAATGGGGTCGCGCTAACTGCCACACGTGTGGCAGGAAGGGAGACGCACCACACGTCTCTAATGTAAACAGATTGCCACGTCATCGCATGCATGCATGCAGGAATCTTTTTGGATTTTCAATTTTTAGAATGTGTTATCTCTTAAACGAAAAATCCAATTGAAAATCCGTTTTCATCATTAAATCCCTCGCGATGAGATCTTCGAAACTAGATCCCATGTTGATATGTTTTGATGAAAAAAAATTTGGATTAAAAGTTGCCATGTCTATTGCATATGAATTGCCATGATGTTTACACTAAAGTTGCCATGATATATTTCAACTATTTTCTTCTACATTTAAAAGTAAATTTTGACATTTATAAAACGAGGAATTAAGAAACTAGACTTGCCATGAACCATAAACTAAAATTGCCATGATACATGCACGTAAAATTGCCATGGTTCATACAAAAAATAATTTTCATGGTCAAAGTACTGGAGTTGCCATCATCAAAATACTAAAATTGCCATGATCTACAAACTAAAATTGCCACATGGCAACTTTAGTTTAGGCCCTATGGCAACTGCAGTGTAAACATCGTGGCAACTTCTGGCAAAAAAAAAATCGTCGAAACATATCAACATGGGGTCTAGTTTTGAAGATCTCGTCGAGACGGATTTAATGGTGAAAACGGATTTTTAGTTCGCTTTTTTATTTAGGAGATACAACATTTTTAAGCCCAAAACCAAAAAAAAAATCTGCAGATGTCATCTATTCATACGTGGCAAAATGAGTGGTGATGGAGGCGTGTGGGCGATGTGCAAACGCCCACACGTGTGGGCATTAACATTTCCGAATTAATGCGATGGAATGGCTAACCGCCATACCCCATAACTGTGAGAGTAATGGAAGACATCATTTTTATGCATCGATCTTTTTTAGGACACAATAAAGCATCCCACTTTTAGTTAATGTACTAGTCGAATGCTCATGCATTGCCACGGAGAAAAAAAGGGAGGCGGCATCATTCATAGTAAGACAAGACACAAATCAAATGGATTTGCAAATGACACTTCGGTTTGTTGGCGGAACATTTTAGTTTTGACAATTTCAGTGTAACAAGAATTCCCATGTAATAAAATCGAGATGAAAGGACTTGTGCATATCCAGAAGAAAACATGAACAAATGCAAACATGTATATATTGGCCCATATATGAAAGATAGAAGTAAAAGCACGAGTAAACGAGCTTTGACTGTGGCATAACAACAGCGAGGATGCATAATCATGATAATTTCAAAACCAACATCATTCAAATATCTTCTTTCGTTATTTGACACCATTTCTTTACTTTTATCCTTTTTTAAGGACCTAGTCTTAGTTTCTCCAAACAATAACTTAAATCAATATGTCCTTTGCTGAATAAACAAAGAAAGGGAACGAAAAAACAAGAAGAGCCTTACCAGATCTGATGTACAAAATAGTGGCACATAATCAAGTCTGTATTGCTAATTAAAGATTGCACATGAATGTTTTTTATGCGTACTTACAATCAATCGTCTCATGAAACCTAAGGGCCTCAACGCGAGAAGCGCACCATCATAAAGTTACTTGACAAAGAGCGTAATCTTGTTATTAAGCCTAGATGTACAAAAATGGGGCAGAAGTAACACGGTATCTTCCCTTGCCACAAAGCAGAGTATCTTCCATCTAAGAAAACAAAGTACCTCCCTCAATATAAAATCTACCACTGTAAAAAGGCAGAGTATCTTCCTTTGCTACAAACCAGCTCGTACCCAAGCACACGAAATCAGACAAATTTTCGGCCTTTGCTTTGCCTTCTTAGCGCGCTTGATTTGTCATCTCCAGGAAGCACTGTTTAATAACAAAATAATCAATGAGCCTGTTATACACTCTGAAGCATATGCACATATATACTGGTATACAAAGATTGTAGACACAAATTTTCCTTTACCAGATAGGGCTCTGGTCTTTTTTGCTTCATCTACCTGCTCGCTTAAAAGGGCATCAGACTATCACTATTGCGTACATAACTGTCTGTGTTATATTCAAACAAAGGAAAAAAAAACTGAGTCTGTAGAGGGAAGAATTCAGTATATTTGGACAAAGCAAAAAACAACGAACAACACTTGCAATACATTTTGTACTGAGCAAAGAAACAAAATGTACAGTAAAAGATGCTTTGAAATTATGCGTATATAGAAGGGGCGAGTGCAAATGTACGTACAGAAAAATTAGTACTGGACCTCTTGTAACTATTACATCAACCAGGTTTCTGCACCACGTGAAAATGTGGTAAGCAATCGAAACAATTCAAAAAAAAAATAGGTTTCTGCCAAAAAAAATGTTGATAACACACAAGAAGGAAAAAAAATATAACGGACAAGAGGGATCGCCCGGGTCATAGTGGTTTCCTTGATTACTTCCGGTGGACACGAGCTGCACTTAAATTTTGCTTTTGATTAATCCAGAGGGAGAAGGAGCCAAAAGTGATCTGCAGCAGTACTAGTTGAGAACTTGAGATCATATTAGTGTCGATGGTGAGTTCAACACTTAAAATTCCATTGTGCTGCAATAGTCTGAATCATGTTACAATTTGAAATAAACAAGTGTGTTGTGCTCACAACCTCCGGCCGCTACTATGTGTTTCAGTCATGTACAACAGTTTTGTTTGGCCGCGCTTCGCCGCTGCACAGCGTCGCCTTGCCCCTCCTCAATTACTACAGTGGAAGAAAGTATGGGAGAGAGAAAAGTTTAATCTGAAGTCACTACAGTGGAAGAAAGTATGGGAGAGAGAAAAGTTTCAAGCTTTCATACCATACATGAGTTTCTACAATTCACAAGGTATGTTTGTATCTATATGTCCTTTCTTTTGTGATGTGGGAACAACTCTTAAATAATACTCCATACAAGTTAGTGGAATAAATAAAGCATTGAATGCCTGATCTGATTGAATGTTATGTTTGAAATGGGTGTGAACAAACTTTGAGTGCCGTGTGGTTACAACTAATTATGCTTAATTTGTAATTTATACAGTATCATGTAATCCCCCTTCTAGAATCATACTGAGAAATCTATGTTTGCAGAAAGGGTGACCCCTAGTGACGCGGCGCATTAAGAATGTGTGGTTGAATATGTACGAGGCTACACTCATCAACAAGATATGTGACAAACTTGGAGGCAACAGGGGTCTCGCGAAGTCCTGATGAATTATGTCATCATTCAGTAGCCCTTTTGGTGCAGCGGTGCTTGCTTGTTTTCTCATGTTGTTGGTAGCTTTTGTCAGTTAGCTTGATAATCTCCCGTGTTAGGGGCCGAGTGAATTGATTATCTTTGTAATGAACATCTAATTTGATGTACCCTGTTGTAGAATTTGCTTGAAAAAGCATTTGCAGACATTAACTTGGTATTACCATTTTAAAAACTCTTGTGTACTGGCAGGATACATGTCTCGGAACTTGAACCCATTGAAACACAGCAGATCCGCAAATACATGTCTCAAGAGTACACTATGCCTCGATTTATTTCAGGTGCACATAAACATGTGTGCATCCAGCGTTTGCCACTAGTGATGCCAAAGCAAAGAAAGTTTCACAGATGGCTCGACTCAGAAGTGACAAATCCTTTCTCTCTCAAGCTCTCGATAGTCCCTTGAGGCTTGTCTCCAGGGGGGTCAGCTCCATGCCTAGACTTCTTATCTTGTCCTTTGATACCTGGTAGATTGTGGCAAACGGTGCATCATCTGCACACCTGCACACAAGAAAGGGAAAAAATAACTTCAGGGGTCCCGTCGCCATATGGTGCAAAGGAACAGATTAAGGCTCTCTACAATGTTGAGAAATGCATGATTGGGAAAACATCTATTGTGTCCCTCAAGCCTCAACAAGAAACAAGCAACTAATAATATCCAACGGTATACTGTTCTTGATTCAATTCCAAGGGATTCACTTGAATGCTAACTTACTTGTCTGGCACTGGAAATTCAGGATACATCTCGTGTATGATCTTGACAAGGTCCGAGTGGTGAATGACTCTTTCAACCATACAATATCTTCCGTTTGCTGAAGGAACTTCGTATGCAAGGATATGTGCCAGGGCAACATCTTTAACGTTTATCCATCCAAAGCAGAAATTGGCGTATGTAGAAGATGATCCTGCATGAAAACACCAAGGATTTCTTGTCAACTGTCCAGAAATGTCTTGTTAGAGTAGACTTCTTTTGGCACAACCACTGCAATTTTAACCCTTTTTTTAGACAAGTAACAATTCAGTCCATGTTTTCCGTTGGTCATTAAACATACTCTATGCCAGATGAGAATATATTCATCACTCTGAAGCTCCAAGTATCCAAATAAATGAACGCAAAGCCAGAGAGAAACACAAAGGTACCATAGGCAGACCCCCCATTGTAAACAAATCAAATGTCCAATTGAACAGAGTCCTCTTGATATTTCTCAAAAGATTCATAACATTCACTGTACATGTACCTATTAGCTAGACAAACAATGAAGAGTAGAATCATTCCAATATGGCAATATCTCACAGTGCTTTTGCCAGTGCCCAAAACACAATACACAGAAGGAAATGAAAGAAACATAATTCAACATCGCTTGAAATATCTTGAGTTTGTTTGCAGAAATTGTGCTAATGGCTAATAGAAATTGGAATATCTTGGGCTTGGGTATTCTCTCGAACAAATGAGAAATGCAAAATGGGTATAGGGCAAAGCAGAGCTCTACCTTACATGCATAAAGTTAACCTATAAAAAGTTAATTATCAAGGCACATACGGACATACCATTTATAAACTTCAATATTGCTTCTGCGATAGTATTCAGTGTAGGCTGCAACAGGGGACCGATGACCATTGTTGGGTTTATTGTAATTATTTCCAATCCATTATCATTTGCGTACTTCCATGCAGCCTCCTCGGCAAGGGTCTTGGATAGCACATACCATTGCTGAAGCAGACGAACATTCAGGATAACAAGATGAGAACATAAATGATGTACAGTCAACCATGGATTCAAAATTGAAATACAAAAGGATGTGGAAGTAAAGTTTTGATATTTGCATACAAAATTAAATAAAGCAATCTAATTTTCAAGTTAGGAAACAAATATCGAAAGAACCCTGTTAGAGCAGAAATTATGGTAGCTTATAGTCAGTATGAGGAACCAAATGCATATCCCCACTGAAGAAAGATGTACTTATAATGACAAGTGCATGTGCCAGTTATACAGTAATAGCAGTGATGTACTTATGATTACAAGTGCAGATGTCAGTTATATGGCATCGTATGTCGCTTCAACATCTATGAGGTAGTATTCAGCATAATATGTAGATGTAGAGTTGTTATGCAATTGCTTAGTAACAGCAGACAGAGACTGACCATCTATAACATACTGGCATTAGTGCTGAGTTTACCAGGTATAATTTTTTTCCCTCAACACTAACCAAGTATAGTATAGTATGACACAAATAAAGATGGAATAAGATCAATTGACATTTACTTTCCTATTCTTAAACTTCTTGTTGTGGATTGTTGATTGTGTATCATTGGACTCAACCTACATCCTTGTGTGAAAACTGAAAACACAAAACCAAGGTCTTCAATAACAATGGTATCACCCTCTTATCCTAAGAATATTCTATTTCAGTAGAGGTGCATTTGCAGAATTGGTATGCAAGTCATCAAGTAGACAAAATAAGGGCATTTCAGTGCAGACGGAGTGAAAGACATATAGAGCAATCAAAGCCAGATAGTATATTTTACTAACGTGATTGCCACTCCATATGTGAAAAGCAAGCAGATGTCTATGAGCACAGAAAAGACGTATTACCTTATTCTTTTCGCAGACCTCTGGACTTGAAAACCATGTCTCGTCAACCACTACATCAGGAGTCCTTGGCTTCCCATTGTAGGCAACAGCAGCCATGGATGAGGTTACGATCACTCTCTTGATAGAGGCCTTCTTGCAAGAACGGAGAACATTGAGCGTTCTATTGACTGCTGGGTCAAGTAACTCAGCCTGAAAGACAGTAATGACACACATAAGTACACAGAACAAACGTCCGGTGAAGCTGTTGTATTTACTAACTGAACATCGTAAACAGTTTTAGCTGTTGAAAACATTAGCCCGTGCACATGCATAAGGAACAAGCAAATGTTGTCTTTAATTCAGAAGTCAGAATGGCTGCCAGTTGACTCTTTATTTAGACTTGGATATATTATACTAGTTGTAGTAGGGGGTGAGTGAACAGAGCCAGAGCCAGAGCCAGAATTTTGTTAAGGGAGTCCCCAACACTAGTACTCACAGGATGCTATTGGTAACTACAGTAATTCAGTAGAATACATTGGATTTTATGTTAATTTTGAACTCCAACAATCTAAAAGATTTATAATGAAAATAATTGACTGTCGCAGCAACACGCTAGCAAAGGTATTATGCGAAGTCGGCCGGGGGTAGTTTTAAATTCACAGATCAGAATGGCTGCCCCTTGACTCTTGTAGACTTAGATTTATAATAAATACAGTTGCAGTGGGGAGATGGCGTTGACTTCCAAGCACTGCATGCTAACAAATTCAGTCAGCTTCTTTTTCTTCTTCCTTGTACTATTAGTTTCAATTTGACAAGCTGAACAAAACCTAGTTCCCCACCCAACCAGTGAATGACTGAATCGATGAATCCCTGGCGGCCGCGGGGATCAAGCAAGAACCAAGCGATAATCATGGATCCACCAGCTAGAGCAGGCGGAAGAGTAAGGGGAGGAGGTGTAGCCCGAGGCGCCGGTGACGCACACCACCTTCCCCGTCCCGGAGCTCATCCCGTCCTCCTGCTCTTCCGGCAGCGGCTGGGTGGGTGTGGTGGACTGTGGAGTGGGAGCGGAGTGTCAGCGTCCTGGTGGGTGGGGCGCCTCCGTCTCTCGGCAAGTCGTCACCGTACACGTACACACCACGCGTCTACAGCCGGACCCTCCATTTCCTCCATACACTTTGTTTGTAGCCGTCAGATTACTAGTTTGATCAAAAACAAATTATCTTTTTTTTGAGAGAAAAAAAAACAAATTATCTAATTGGACCCATTCCGTAATAACACCGGGTTGGCCTCTTGGTGGGAAGCCTGGCGGCGGGCCTGCCTCCGGGCCCGGGTAGCCTACCAGGGGCCCGCGTGTCTCGATTTTAGCCCAAGCTCGCATTTTCAATTCTTTGGCTAGCCTTGAGCTTTCGGTGGCCCATACCGTGGTCAATCTTGGTAGGAAACACAAACCTTCCAAAATCAACATAAAAACCTATCCTCAAACCTCCTCCCCCGAAACCCTCGCCTCCACCAACCATGCCTCCGCCGCCGCCGCCGCCAATACAATCGCTGCCGGACGAACTACTCGAGGAGATCTTCTTCCGCCTCCCGCCGAATGAGCCGTTGTGCCTCGTGCGTGCCTCCGTCGCCAACAAGCGATGGCTCGGTATTCTCTCCTGCCACGCCTTCCGTGGTCGCTATCGTAAGTTCCATGGATCTCCTCCCATGTTGGGGTTCCTTTATTCCTGGCCCTTCGAGTTTCTCTCGAGGAAAGCCCCCTCCCCGCGCTTCATCTCCACCATGAAATTTGGTGCGGACATTCCTGACAACCGCGGGGGTAACTATAAATACCCTGCATGGGACTGCCGCCATGGTCGCGTTCTCCTTCGGGATAATTGGGCACCAACGCACCTTGTTGTTTGGGACCCCATGACGGGCCGCCAAAGAAAGCTAAAAGTGCCTACGTCGATGGGCTACGTCAATGGGGCCACTGCACTCTTTTGTGCAGCGAGTGGTTGTGACCATCACGCGTGTCATGCAGGGCCCTTCCAAGTGGTATTCTTGGGCCTTGACATGACAGATGATGACAATTGTGTTGCACACGCACGTGTGTCCTCGCCGGTGACAGGTGACTGGAGCAAGTCATTCTCTGATGTTGAGTGGAGCGATATGTGCTCTAGTTTACAACTTGCGCCTGATGCATTAATCGACTCAATGCCTTCCATCCTTGTTGAAAACACACTTCACTTCATGCTTACACACGATGATGATGATAGTGTCAACATTCTCAAATATGACTTGAGCTCTAATTGCTTATCGCTGATTGACGCGCCATTGTCCGGGGCTATCATTAGCGGTTCCACTATCCTCATGTCGATGGAGGATGGCAGTTTGGGTTTTGCGCATGTGGACAAGGTAACCCTCAACATATGGTCAAGACAATTGGATGCTAATGGAATTGCGTCATGGAATATGTGTAGAGTCGTCGAACTCATGAACCTTATCCCTATTCAAAATCCAACCAAAAGGCTTAAACTGATTGGATCTATGGAGGGCAGTGATATCATTTTCATAACTGCGGACCTTGGCATCTACGAGGTTAATATTAAGACACTACAATGGAAGAAGCTATGGAAGAGAGAGAAATTCCGTTATTTGATACCATACATGAGTTTCTACAATCCACCAGGTACATCTATATGTCATTTCTTTTTGGATTTAGAACAATTTTTATATAAATACTTGTACATTAGTTAATGTATAATTAGATTAGTGATGATCACATAGAAAGTTATATGTTTCATATGTGCGCGAACAAACTTCCAGTAATATATGTCATTTGTGCTCGATCAAACTTCAAGTAATATGGATCCTCGAATGTTACACCTAATTATGCTTACGTCTCTTAATTGGAAATTTCATCATAGCATCCCCTTTTTGGAATCACACTGACACAATTATATTTACAGAATGGCTGAGACCTTGTGATGTGGCGCATTGACAATGTTTGATCAAAAAGTCTTAAAGGAAGGGGCCACTCTCGTCAACAAGAAAGATAATCAGCTCAGAGGCAACAAGGGTCTTTTGATGAATCATGTCACTAATTAGCACCTGGTGTGGTGCAATGGTTCTTGTTTTCTCATACTATTGTTCTTTTGCTAGTAAGCTTGACAATTCCTTGTGTTGTTGGCATGTGCTAGCAGGCGAATGAATTATGTTGTAATGAATCTCAATTTTCTCGCAACATCAACTTTGTGCTTTGTGGTTGAATTGCCTTCAAATTTTATTTGTAGCTAGTAGCTTAGTCTTTCCATTTGAACTCTACAACTTGCACCCCTAGTTTTGATCTAGTCTCTAAATTGGTCTCCGAAAAGATGTGGCATTGATGAGAAAATGGTGATGGCATGTACATGGCTAGTGGTTTCTATTGCCCAAGACATGATACGATGATGGTTTTGCATGATGGCTCGTTGACATGTCATAGTAAATCTTTTGGATATAAGTAAATGTTTTTGCGGTTTTATTTGTTTATCAAGCAATGTTACTGAATAGTATAACATATGAAGTAAAATCTTGAGTCGGAAACTGAAGGTTGATGGGATATGAGCTGCATGCCCGCATCAAGATATCATAGAAAACTTTTACTTTCTTGAGTTCCTCCACAAATCTATTTGGTGTTTGTTCGGTAATTGTGCAAATGCGGACACAATTAATTGTGCAAAGTGTTTATATGCCACACAATGGTAACAATTATAGCTGTGACTTGCAGCGCCCACACACACAAAAAAAAAGAGTCATGTCAAGTCTATGAGCATGGTAAACATGTAAATAAATAACATGGTGCCTTCTCTTGTTGTGAATTTTCGCCTAAATAGATACCCTGTTATTATAAATAAATCTTGAAAGATGCCGACAAAGTCTCTCATCAAAATATTTGTAGGTAATACGTGTTCAGAGTGTATAAGATATAGGTTTCAACATAGCAATAGTAGTTACATTTGCATCTCATACATAAATAAAAAAATGCATGTTGCTACATCTAGGAGCATGGTTAACATGGATGCATGACCACCTTACCACAACTTCGATAAACATAGAAATCCACAGAAGGATTAGCTAAAGAAATGTTGTAGATCTTCTTAGTGCAACCTCCATGGGCATATGCTATGATCTTGTCCCCCAACTTTATGGCCACTTTTTTAAACATCGGTGCACACCTCAATATAAAATTCAAAAATTCGAAGCAATGATCCTCTCCTCTAAAGCCTCGGATTTCCACTTCCTCCAAATGATTCAGGGGGATACTTTGGCTTCTCCAATTCCCGGGTTCATCAGATGGGCAATTGTTTACACATGCACCAGCTGCCACCTAAAACAAATTAATAGAGAGTGTAAAATATTTTGTATGCTTGCACCACACATTTGGCTCAACAACCGAAACATCTCAATGCTACATAGTAGTAGTAAAAAATGTGCTGGGCTAGTACTACCTACATGAGACATATAAGCAAATAAGAAAAGAGTGTACCTCAGATTTCTCTAGCCTCAGTAGGGTGACCTTACGTAGTTTTGAAATAGTATGAATCGGAAGCGCCTGAAGGAGATGCACAACAGAGAAGTCGGTCACCTCAAGCTTCCCGATCTCTTGTGCAAAGTCGATCCATGCACTCGACTGATCTTGCTGAAAAATGAGCCACGTTTAATTAACTGAATTAGCAAATTCAATAAACTGAGTATAGAGCAAGGGCAGGGGACTCACGGAGGCACACAGCATGTCCACAGATAGGACATGGGCAGGACAAGGCATCCCCGGAACCTCCAAACATTTGTCTCCATGGCGGCTCTCTGCCATGGTCTGTATGCTCAGGCTCCGGAGGACCAACAACCAAACACAAGAGCCGGCCTTGTATACGAGCGCTGCCACGAGACCTTCTCCACAAATGGCGCAAACACAGAGACGTCGAGATGCACACCCGCGTGGACTTCCATTCCCAACTGCTTAAGCATTGGGGCCGCGACATTCCTTGAGGTTCCGAGGACAAGCTCCTGTAGCGACGCTGAATGGACCATGATGTGGCAGTCCTTCGTAGCTCCGTCCACCCTGAGGACACGAAGGCGCGGCCAGCAGGAGGTGAACACGCCAAGATCGACGATGCTGCAGCCTGCAGCCGGAGAGACGCAGCCTCTCGAGTGCCAAGAACTCGCTAGAGCACCGCCTCTGTGTGAAGCTCACGCCATGCCACACAATCTCTATCGAGGTGGCGCGGTGGAAGCTTGGAAATTCAAGACTGGACCAGCTTTTTGCGCGAGATCTGAACTCCTCCGGCGAGAGCTCAGTCGCACTGTGAACAAGTGAGTAGTTTAGCTCGGAGACGCAGATGTCAAGGAGGAGGGACACTGCCACTTGGCGCGAGTGCAGCGCCGCCTTGAGCGACCCCAGCGCTAGAGCCACCGATTTGGGCACCAGGCCACGGAATTTGGCCCGGAGGACACGCAGACGTGGGCAGCGGGTGACCAGGGTGCCAACCTCGACGATCCCGCCGGAGACGGACAGCCTCTCAAGCACGGGGAACTCCCCGGCCGGCGGCACCCTGACAATGAAGCGCGGCATGTCCAGCTCGATCGAAGTGGCCCGATGAAAGCAGGGCAGGTGGATGTCAGTGAAAGGGTCCTCTCTTTTTTCCCCAAAGAGACGACTGCGGGAAGGTGAAGACTAGCTCGGCCGGCGAAAGCTGCGCGGCGGCGGACAGCAGCGACTGGGCGTCGTCGGCGTTAGGGTTGCGTGGGAGGCGGATGTCGAGGAGGGACAACGCGCCCGCGGACGTACCAGCTTCAAACCGGCAGAGCGCAGCTTTGATCACCGTGGGCATGACGCCGCAAAAGGTTAGGGCGGTGAGGCGGGTCCAGACACCACGCCACCGGCGCGAGAGAAGGCCGGTGCGCACGGCGGTGCGGACGCATCCCAAACGCGCTAGCATGAGGAGGATCATGTCATCGGAGAGAGAGCTGATGTGGTCGGCTCCGCCTGGCCCACGCCGGCGGCAATGAGCTCCATGCCCCGGCGGCGGACGCGACGACAGCGAGCAGAGGCCAAGAACCGATCGCAAACCCATCGGCTTGGCAAAAAGTCGATCATGTCGTCCGATGGCACGTATAATTCAGCGGGCGCGAGCCGTTCTCCTAATGGAATTCTTATCCTGCCGGCATTAGCGGAGTAGGAATCTTGATCGATTCCTCACTACCGGAATAATTGGCTACCCCGACGGCCTATTCTATGCCGACGGCCTTTTGTCGGGGCCGTCGGCATAGACGGAGCTATGCCGACAGCCTAGGGAAAGCCGTAGGCGTAGAAAGACTATGCCGACGGCAGCCGTAGGCATAGAAAGGCCGTCGGCATATCTCCGACTATGCCGACGGCAGCCGTCAGTAAAGTGTGGCCGTCGGCATATAGGTGGCCCTGGTGGCCCGGCCTCAGACGGCAGCCTAACGCTGTCGAATCTATGCCAACGGCCCTCACAGTGGCCGTCGGCATATGTTTTATCTGGTTTTTTTTTCAGGAACTGTCACATGGCAATACTATGCCGACGGCCTTGCCGTAGGCATATATATTATCTGTTTTTTATCTTTTAAATTGTTTTTATTTTAAAAATGATTAATTTAAATCTGTTTTTTATTTATGTATTATAAGCGCCAAAAATGTTTCTGTGTTACGAAAAATAAGTATGTGATTCTGAAAAAAAATAAACATTGTAAAACACATTTGTGTAATTAAAAAAACATATGTTGCATTTTAAAAATGTTCAGGCATTTCGAAATACTGTTAATGATATTTTTTTAATGTTTACGCAATGTACAAAAAATTTCATGTAGTTTAAAAATGTTCCGTACCATCCGAAAATGTCTAACACGTATTTCAAAAAAGTTTCAAAACTCATATTTGGAACAATATTAATTATACGTATAATTTTTTTAAAAATACTAAATTTCTAGAACATTTAATATTTTTTAAACATATGATTAACATGTTCTCAAATACAAGTTGTTGAAACTTTATTCAAATAAGTGGATAAACTTTTTTGGATTGTACGACACATTTTTTTAAACAACGCTAACAATTTTTCACATTGTATAAACATTTTAAAAAATGTCATCAATAGTTTTTCGAATGCCTGAACATTTTTAAAATGCAACATATGGTTGTTTTAATTACACAAATGTGTTTTATGATGTTTATTTTTTAATGTCGCGTACCTTTTTTTTTGTAAGACATTTTTTTAATTGTCGCAAACACAAGAATATAATTTATTTTCTTACATAGAACAAGAAGGAATAGCAACATGAAAAATGTTTATCCCATCTAGACATGTTGTGTTATTGTAGCTGTTGGAAATATGCCCTAGAGGCAATGATAAATTAGTTATTATTATCATATTTCCTGGTTCATGATAATCGTTTATTGTCCATGCTATAATTGTATTGAAAGGAAACTCAGATACATGTGTGGATACATAGGCAACACCATCTCCCTAGTAAGCTTCTAGTTGACTAGCTCGTTGATCAATAGATGGTTACGGTTTCCTGACCATGGACATTGGATGTCGTTGATAACGGGATCACATCATTAGGAGAATGATGTGATGGACAAGACCCAATCCTAAGCCTAGCACAAGATCGTAGTTCATATGCTAAAGCTTTTCTAATGTCAAGTATCATTTCTTTAGACCATGAGATTGTGCAACTCCCGGATACAGTAGGAATGCTTTGGGTGTACCAAACGTCACAACGTAACTGGGTGGCTATAAAGGTGCACTACAGTTATCTCCGAAAGTGTCTGTTGGGTTGGCACGAATCGAGACTGGGATTTGTCACTCTGTTTAACGGAGAGGTATCTCTGGGCCCACTCGGTAGGACATCATCATAATGTGCACAATGTGACCAAGGGGTTGATCACGGGATGATGTGTTACGGAACGAGTAAAGAGACTTGCTGGTAATGAGATTG